GAAGGTCAGCAGCTGCACGGCGCGAAACTCCGCACGCAAGTCGGGGTCATCCGGCGTCGCCACGGTACCGCGAGCAAAGTTGATCAGCCCGGCCATCTCCAGCTGGGGCTCGATGGCTTCCTTCCAGGTAAGAATGTCGGGTCGACCAACCTGTAGGGGAGTGACCAAGATCCTATCCGGCGTGAACTTGAAGTAGCCGTAGCTCGGTGCAATCCCGCCTGCTGTCACCTGGGTCGCCGACATCGGCAGAGACCCACTTCGTCGACCTCCGACGTCACCCTGCGAGGAGCCTGCAGCCGCCGACGACCGCATTCCTCGCACCTGAACGCCGCCGAATTCATCGGCGTGAATCACAACACGCCGCCTCGACGACGTGCCTCCCGCAGTGTTGCCGACTTGGTCACCACCGGCGTTGACGCCCACGTCGACGCCGCCCTCGGTGTTCACCGGTCGAGGAGATGCAGGCCGAGAAGGAGGGTGCTCCGTCGCCCACACAGAGCGGATGCCAGCCTCGACGACCGCCCAGGGGAGGTCGCCGAACTCCTTCGCCTCATGGCGTCTCCTCGCGCTCTCCAGCCGTGCCTCCAGGGTGTCCACCACCCCCGTGTCACCTACGGCGCCTACCATAGTGACTACTGCACAGCTGCCGGCCTACGAACAACTTAGGTAAGGTGCAACTAAGTCGACTAGACTGAAAGGTAAGTCGTGTGTTCGTTCCACGCTCACCGCACCATGCGGAGATAACTACTACAACGGGAGCTGGACTACGGGCTAGGCACGTGTGCTCGTGTGATCTCTGCGTTCACTTGTTCCTTAGTCGTTTCCAAGTGCTCACACTACTTGCTAGTTCACAGGGAGAATTGGCAAGAGTTTCACTAGGAAAGTTTGACAACAATGGTACAACGAAGTTGGCAAGACTAGACTACATCAGAGCTAGCATGCAAGCAAGTCTACTGCCAGCGCAGCACGGTCGACCGTGTGCCAGCACGACTTGGTCGACCGCGCTCCAGCAGTGCAGAGGCGCGGCTTGCCAGTGCTGCAAGTCGACGGCGTGCCAGCATCGCAGGTTGACGGCGTGCCAACGCTGCTCCCGCAGGACAGCAGCGCACCCGCTTCGCAGGTGCTCGCAGATGATTGGCGTGTAGTGCCTCGTCACCTGCACAGCGCACACACCAAGTCAACTTCGTGCTGACGACTGATTCTGATCAGCCACGTCGACCTCGGGATACCACCACCGACTGCACCCCTACACCCGACCACGAAGTCGGCTCCGCCCAAGCGAGGACGGGGCCAACACACAACTCCCGTTGACAGGAAGTGGGGTAGCTGTGCGTACGGAAGTGGGAGCAGCGCGGGTGAGAGTGGGGAAATAGCGCATACGGAAGGGGGAGGGAGGGGAGGGCGGCGAGTAGGAAAAGATGGCAGAGGCGGAAATGAGATTATGGGTATAGAAGGATGGGGAGAGATGGGCTGAGAGTGAAGGTAGGAGACGGGCTGTGCTGTGAGGGACGGGAAGCATGACTGAGCGATGAGAGGAGAGAGTGATGGGTGTGAGTTAGCGATAGGACTGCTGGGATGCATCCCTCTCACAACTACAGCACACGGAGGGGATGGGGGGCACAGAGGGGAATCGAGGGGCTGGTACGGATGGGAAATTGTGGGGAGGGCACAGCGGGGATAAGTGTGGGGATGGTTTGAGACGATTCAACACTGGCTTGTACAGCACCAGCGGTACACAGGCACTCGCAAACCTGCAGGCTGTAGGGGAGCAGCACAAGTGGAAGAGGGGAAGGGTGAAAGGGGAGGGGGCAAGGGGCAAATGGACGAAGGACAAGTGAGGGAGAGACGGAAATGGGATGGATGGGATTAGGATAGAGGCAGCGCGGCGGACAGGGGAAGGCAGCGCGGCGGACAGGGGAAGGCAGCGCGGCGGACAGGGGAAGGCAGCGCGGCGGTCAGGGGGAGCAGTGCGGCGGTCAGGGGGAGCAGTGCGGCGGTCAGGGGAAGGCAGCGCGGCGGTCAGGGGGAGCAGTGCGGCGATCAGGGGGAGCAGCGCGTAGGGAGGGGGGAGCAGCGCGTAGGGAGGGGGGAACAGCGCGTAGGGAGGGGGGAGCAGCTCGTAGGGAGGGAAGGAAGGCGCGATCTAGAGAGGGACCGGATAGTCTAGTGGGACGGAGTTGACAGGAGCGAGAGACGAGCGTGAGAGATCGATGAGGCAATTGCCATGTATGAGCGGTGGGTTTGGGCGGTCGCGGCGGGAGGAAGGGCGAGACGGCATTGAGTGAGCGATGCGAATGAGGGCCGTCAGGCGAGCGGCGGAGAGGGATGGGAAGCGCGGCAATGACGGGCGGGGCAGAAGCAACAGGTGGAACGGGAGGAATGGGAGGCGTTGGTTATACGAAAGAGGCTGAGGGGGTGGCTTACCCCCCCCCCCCTCCCCTCAGTGAGTGAGTGTGTTTGGAAGGTGAGCATGTGGGGGGGTTGAACTCCCCCCACAGGGCTGGAGATGGTAAGAGGCTGAGGGGAGGCTTACCCCCCCCCTCCCCTGAGTGAGTGAGTGTGTTTGGAAGGTGAGCATGTGGGGGGGTTGAACTCCCCCCACAGGGCTGGAGATGGTAAGAGGCTGAGGGGGGGCTTACCCCCCCCCTTCCCCCCTCCCCTAAGTGAGTGAGTGTGCTTGGAAGGTGAGCATGTGGGGGGGTTGAACTCCCCCCACAGGTTGGAGATGGTAAGAGGCTGAGGGGAGGCTTCCCCTCCCCCCCCCCCCCTCCCCTTAGTGAGTGAGTGTGTTTGGAAGGTGAGCATGCGGGGGGGTTGAACTCCCCCCACAGGTTGGAGATGGTAAGAGGTTGAGGGGAGGCTTACCCCCCCCCCCTCCCCTCAGGTAGTGAGTGAGTGTGTTCGGTAGGTGAGCGGCTGAGGGGAGGCTTACCCCCATTCAAAGAGCGTGTACGATGGGAGGGTGTGGGGGTGTTGAACTCCTCCTCTTGGGCAGTATTTGAGAAGAACCCTACACTACACCTTCAGAGTTGCAAAAACTGTTATGCTCAACAATGCGCCTTTCCACCCTGTCAGGTGCACTCAATGGCGCAAGAACTTGGGGTTCCTGATCATCCAGCATCTCAGGCATGCAAAGATGCTAGGTGAGATTGGGGAGGTTGGCGCATGGCTGGGTATGGAGGGGAAGGAGGGAGGTAGAAGGGAGGGGGGTCTGCGAAGCGCGCGAGCGACGAAGACGGGCAATCGACGACCAATGGACGGACAACAACGGGTAACGAGAGCAACGGGAGTAATTGCGGGACGGGAGACTGGGTAGGGGAGGGTCCGAATGCACCGAGATGAGAAGGGAGAAGCCCCGACTAGGGAGGGGGGAACTGCGACCATTCGGAAGGGGGGAAAGTGAGCATGTGGAAGGGGGAAAATTGCGCGTAGGGAGGTGGGCACACTGCACGTAGGGAAGGGGGCGACGGGAGGGACGGGCGCGACTTACGGGAGGGCCGGGAAGGGAAAGCGAGGGCGATGGAATGAGAAAGCGGTGAGCGGTGAGATGGAGAAGCGAGGCTGACGGGAAAGGAAAACGGTGAGCGCACGGATGGTAAAGCGTGGACACGGGGAGAAAGCGTAGGCGGGGGCGCGGGAAGGAAGCGCCTTGAAAAAGGCGATGGGAGGGACGGGAGCGGAGGAAGTGAGCGACGGGAGGGAAGCGAGCGGAGGAAGTGAGCGACGGGAGGGAAGCGAGCGGAGGAAGTGAGCGACGGGAGGGAAGCGAGCGGAGGAAGTGAGCGACGGGAGGGAAGCGAGCGGAGGAAGTGAGCGACGGGAGGGAAGCGAGCGGAGGAAGTGAGCGACGGGAGGGACGGGAGGGGAGTGACGGGAGCGGCGCCCACGCGACGAGGGCGAAGGGAGAATTGGGATCGACGATAGGGACGTGGAAAACGGGAGGGACGAGAAGCGAGTGGCGGAGCGTGAGCAACGGGCACAAGGGGGGCGACTATAGATGAGGTGCGAGATTTTGTTCTTGCGCATAGTTCCGCGAGAGAGCGAATGTATTGGGGGTGTCGTGCGGCACGGGAGTAAGCTACACTGTGCGTGAATGCTAAAAGTCTGCAGGTGTGTCCTGGGAGAGTTGCGAAATTACTGGCGATCGACGGTGTTATGGGCTATGGAGCCTACTATGCAACGAGTCTAGAACGGTAGTCCGATGTTTCAAGTTTCCGGAAATGGGAACAGTGCGTTTGTTTTTGTTTTTTCTGGCGAGGCTCGTACCGTACGTGGTTTTGCTGCTGTACGCTTGGCCAATCACATTCCAGCGCTTCAAATTCATTCTTAGTGGGTCGCGAGAGAGCATCACAGGAAAGCGGGTTACCGTGTTCCATAACGAAATCATGTTCAAGAATCTTGAACTTGAACACTTGCCATTCTAGACTCGGGCTTTAAGTTAGACAACGTGGGTGTTTTGATGGTCGTTTCGGCCTGAGGCGTGAATGAGAGTTTCGGCCGTGAACTTCATCACCCGCACGAAAATGCCATGTGGCACCTCTCTAGCCACTTGCAGCGGAGGATTTACCAGCACGTGGCGACAGCGAAATAGTGGGAGGGGGGAAATCTCGGCAGATAGTAAGTGAAAGTACCACGAAATTTCATCGAGGGAGAAATTCTCGCGATATTATTCCGCATTGCAGCTACTCGTTAACGACTATAATAATGAATCCATAAGAAAGAGGGGGTGTTATAGAAAATCACCCAAAAAGGGGGGTATAGTACAAACGAGGTCGCTTATAACACCCACCCCGCACAAGCTACCCGGGGGTGTACAATTCGGGGTGGGTGTTTTGTCCGGGAGAATACTGGTACTTTTTGTTCACCCTGTTAGTGCAATTCTCGTTCGCTCATTCCACTGCACACGTTACGCAGCATTCAGTTGTCATCTATCACTCACTGCGTTTGTGCCCACCATAGCTCATCCTAGGCAAGATGCTCCATGCCATATTTTACCACTCCTACTGCCCAGTATCAGCAGCAGGAGCAGCGGCAGTATTGAGTGCGAGACCCAGTGAAAGGTCGGCACAGCGCATGAGAGGCAGGTGCGGCACAGCAGCCACGGCACGCTCCAGCCGCAGCGGCTGGCCGTCAGGACACTGGTCCTGGGTGGGTGGGTGGTGGTAGCACGGCTCTGGAGGGGCGGGGGGGCAGGAGGAGGAGGAGGCAAAGCGGGCAGGAGTGTGGGGGGCGAGAGCAGCAATGAGGTAGCCGAAGGTGGAGGTGGGGGAGAGGAGGAGGGAGTGGGAGAAGAGGGCGAGGGAAAAGAGGTCGATGATGGCATCGTCCACGTTGCGCCCATCGCTGTTGTCCTGCTGCTCCTCCTCCGTCAGCTGCACCACCTCCACCACCGCCCTGCCCCCACTGCTGCCACTGCTCGTCGTGCTCACACCACTGGCCGTACCACCTTCCTCTGGGCTGCTGCTGCTGGTGTCACTGCCAGCAGGCTTCACAGCCCCTCGCACACGCACAGGGTGCCCCAGGTGGTTGGACAGCAAGCGGGAGAGGTTGTGAGCGAGGTGAGCATTCAGCGACGCCACCATCACTGATGCTGCCATGCCTCCTGCTGTCTCCGCACCGCCCACAGCACCACTGGAAGCATCAGCGGCGCCACCAGCAGCACCATCGGCGCCACGGCTCCCCTCACCCACAGCAGTAGCCACAGAGTGCCCTGCCAGCAGCCCGCTCACCACCTCCCCAGCGCAGTGCCCCAGGACGAGCGTCCTCTCCCTCACGCGCTCCGCATCCCAGTTGTGCAAAAAGCGCCCCTGCACGCCCACCCTGGCCGGCAGCGGCGCCAGCAGCGCGTGGTAGCGCGCTGTGAGGCGCGCCCAGATGCGGTTGCAGGGGAAGAGCAGCAGGCGGGCGAGCGAGTGGAAGGGGCGGTGCGTGGGGAAGAGCAGCAGCAGGGCGCGGCGGAAGGAGGGGAGGAGGTAGAGCGCGGGCACGAAGTACTGGTTGGACGAGAGCAGCAGCGTGGGGGCGCCGGCGAGCCAGCGCTGGTGGGCGTCACAGAAGAAGAGCAGCGCTGGTGGGGGCGAGTGGTGGAAGAGATCCACCCGCAGGCTGCACAGGGCGTGGAAGGGGGGCAGGGAGGATGGGGAGAGGCGGGAGAGGGATTGAAGAGACAGGGGTCGGGAGAGAATGCAATGATGTGATGCAGTGATGTGATGCAGTGACGGAATGCAGTGGAGCATATTAGGTGGCATAAGCACGAGTGCAGCAGATGCATGCAGGAATAGCACACTCAATGCAAACAGTGCAAGTGGCATGATGTGATGTGTAGTACAACCACAGTGACTTCACGTACATGGGTGGAACGGTGCACTCTGCATCATGTTCCTCTACACTGCTGTCAACCTCAGCAGCAGCAGCCATTGATAGCAGCGGAGGTGGTGGCAGTGGTGGTGGAAGTTGATTGGAGCCATTGCTGAGAGGGGATGACAGGGATGGGGGAGTGGATGGCTGTGGGGCAGGTGCCGGTGCATCAGGAGCCACTGGCTGCTCTACTCCAGACAGCAACCGCCTCCTCGTGTCTCCACTCACACCATCTCCATCCCTCTTCCCCTGCTGCTGCTCCACCTCCTGCTGCCCCTGCTGCTGCCCCTGCTGCTGCCCCTGCTGCTGCCCCTGCTGCTGCCCCTGCTGCTGCCCCTGCTGCTGCCCCTGCTGCTGCCCCTGCTGCTGCTGCTGCTGCTGGCACTGCTGCCTGCCACGCCTGGCTCCACTCCACGCCCTTCTCACTGAACAGGCTCCACGCCTTCATCTCCTCCTCCACGCCCTCCCCCGGAAACAGCACCCACGACCCATCGGGCCCCTCGCCCGCCTCTGAGAAGGGCTCACAGAGCAGTGCAGCGGGGCCGTTGGGGCGGGCGAGGAGGAGGATGCGGCGGGAGAGCAGCGCGAGGGCGAAGGCGGAGACGAGGGAGAGCAGGCGGTTGCCGTGGCCATCGGGGTTGTGCTGCCACACGAGGTACCGGCACTCACTGCCCTTGCCCGCCAGCAGCGTGGCGCTCAGCTGCTCCAGGGGCTCCCTGTGGAGGCACTCCCGCCGGTACCGCTGGTACTCGTGCATCTTGCGCGCCAGCGCCTCTGACTCTGCCTCTGCCCCTGATGGCCCATGTGCCCGTGCCTGTGCCTGTGCCTGTGCATGCTCTGTGCGCCCGTGCACGGCATAGCAAGCCATCTCAGCTCGGCTCCAGCACTCCCCGTCCCGTCTCCTGTACCGCATGTTATGGCCCCACTCCCCTGCTAAGTTGCTGCTGCTGCTGCCGCCGCCGCCGCCGCCGCCGCCGCCGCCGCTGCTGCTGCTGCTGCTGCTGCTTGAGGCACCTGGGGAGGTGGCATTGGGGAAGGTGGTATCCGTGCCGTCTGTGGCGTTGGAGGGCGTGAGAGCCACTCCCACCGCCATGATGTCAGCACAGTCTGAAGGTGAGGGGAGCGGAGGAATGTGGGCAGGGGAGGAAAGAGGTGTGGTGACAGCGTTATCAAGAGGCATGAGGCTTTCACATATGCATGCTGAAAGATGCAGCGACGGTGGGTTCCTATGCAAGCATGGAGGGGAATAACTGCATGTTTATATTTTTGGCAAGCTATGCACGTGTGCACGTGGTTCCAGTGCCGGTGTGCGACCTCAAGGGGTCACTTCCACAAGATGCACTCCGTAGACCTCAACTGGAACGCACGAACCATGTGTACTTCTCCAGATTAAGTACTTCAATTTCATTTGGATTGCACGATAGTAAAATCATTAAAGCCCGTGTCCCAAATTGCGGACCGCGAGAGTCAAGTTTTTAAAACTTGACGAAGTTGAGTGTCCAAGCTTTTGAAAGTCACGCACCTGCAATTTGGGACTTTCGAAGACAGATTCACTCACCAGGGGGAAAAACGAGGGTTGGCTGGGTCTCGCGAAAAAAACGAACCAAGACGAAATCTGAAACTCTCGCCAAAGCCCACACCAGAAAAACTTCCTCTGGTCAACTTTTAAAAGCATGAACAATTTGGGCTGCCGGCTTTAAGGCAAAATCCTCTTAGCCTTATTTATGGTTTCAGAGAATGCGTTGCTTACACACCTGATTCGTGCGTTCCAGTACAAGTGTGCAGAGTGCATCGCTCAGATGTGACCCCTTGCTCATGCTGGTGCTACGTCTAACAGGCCTGAGATGGAAGCACCATCACATGGGGACAACAAGCGTACGAAGAGTGACACACATGACCACTCGTCTTGCCTAGAAGCACCCCACTGCAACATTGCACACATGACAGGCAGGTCCGCAGGGGCAGGGCGGCAGCAGGGGCAGGGCAGCAGGCAACGCACCTCTGAGCTGGTTGCGGTGGAAGGGCAGGGCGTGTGTGGTGGGAGGATAGGCCAGGCACGGCAGCAGCAGCAGGAGGGCGCGGTGCAGCGCCCATGGTGGCCTCAGCCTTGGCGCGTGCAGTGCGTGCAGGCGTAGCCGTGCGGGTGGCATGGCAGCAGCACACACAGAAGGCGCCTGGCCGCTGCACGGGCAGAGCCGTGGGGTGGGTTAGCGGCGCAGGCAGGGAGAGGCGGCAGCAGGGAGAGGCGGCAGCAGGGAGAGGCGGCAGCAGGGAGAGGTGGCAGCAGGGAGAGGTGGCAGCAGGGAGAGGCGCAGTGGTGTCAGTGGAGGGTGGAAGGCAGGCAGGCGTGAGGCGTGGGAGCGGCGGTGGACAGCAAGGACGAGGGAGGCCTGCCATGTGACGCGCCCATGGTGGGGTGCACCCAGCTTAGCGCGGTGCAGTGCGGTTTAGAGCGTTCTTGAGGGCCTTGTGGAGTGTAAGGTGTTGGTTGGGGGAAAGAGCGACTGCTTCAGCTGTTGGGTGTGACAGCAGCTTGTAGAAAAGCGGTGGTGGAGCCGAGGGACTTGTGTTGGTGCTCACCGGCCGAACCTGGGCGGGAGGGGGGCTGCAGTGGGAGGGCCAGCGGGGAGGAGGGTGAGATGGAAGGGAAGAAACGAATAAACGGGAGAGGAGAGTAGTGGTGGATGGAGTGAGTGCAGCGGGGAGAGAGGAAGAGGAGGGGGCGTGGTGTTGGTGAAGCGATGCAAGGTGGTGTGGCAGGGGAGGCAGTGGCTCTGCCAGAGGACGGCGTATGCATGGGACCGAGGAGAGGAGGACAGACGAGAGTGATGATTGGGGGGAGGTAAAGAGCACGAGGGTTGGAGGTGGGGAAGGTAAATTCGGATGGGCTTCTGGGACAACGCGAGGGGTTTGGGAGAGGGGAACGCTCAAAGATTGGGACACCGCATTGCAAAGTCGGGAATGCGAGGACAGGGGGAAGCACACTCGGAGAATATACAGGGGGAAGCACACAGGGGGAAGCGCACAGGGAGAAGCACACAGGGGGAAGCACACAGGGGGAAGCGCACAGGGAGAAGCACACAGGGGGAAGCACACAGGGAGAAGCACACAGGGGGAAGCACACAGGGGGAAGAACACAGGGGGAAGCGCACAGGGGCCGGGGACGCACACACGGGGGAGCACAAGGGGAAGCACACGGGGGAAGTGCACGCGGGGAAGCGCGGCGGTGAGTGGAGGAAGAGCGGAGGAGGAGAAGGGGAAACGCAGCGGTAATAGGGCGAAGAGCGAGAGTGGGAGAGGAGAGAGCAGGCGACAACGAAGCTGGAGTCGCGGAAGAGCAGACTGATGCCGCAATGACGGGAGGTGCGAGGTGCGGAGAAGCGGGGTGAGAAGAGGAAGAAGGGCGCGCGGGGATCCGAGGGCAAGTGCGACTCACGCAACGAGCACGGGGGGAGGGACGGCGACAGCGGAGCATTAGCGCCGCGACGCCGCTCACAGCGGACGTGGCTCATGTGCTGCGCATCGCCGTTTCCGACATGGACGCACGCAGCCCTCGCGGCAATGTTTCTTTCCCGAGGGGTAGTAGAGATTTGGTAGAGCCTAGGGAGGGAAATCGTCTGGGTGGAAATTCATGGCGAGGATGAAAACAGGTGTAGGGTTGACATCCGTCCGATCAAAGGCGATCCGCCGCTTCCTGGGATCGAAGCGACGCAATGTGACCCCCCTAGGGCCTCCTCGCATAGGGTCATCCTGCGGTGATCCGAACCAATCTTTCCATCTGGTTACTAAAAAGTTCAATCTGGCAACATTTCGTACATAAATAAAGCCAGGGTCTCAAATACCACAAGTGTAATGCATTTTATGGTTTGAGCTTGGCTGCTATTGGTTGACGGAAAAATAAAAGGGGTGCAGCGAGGGATGCGAAGGGAACTAAAATCTTTTGCTGTTTTTTCCAAACATAGGCAGGGAAACAGGTTCGGTGTTAGGCCCGCTGGCCTAAAGAATAGCGGGGTCGACTAAGATGACGAAACTGTCAGATGTTATAGTCTTAGTGATATGTGTCATATGGGGTACAACAGTTAGGGTTAGGTTTATGTACCCCAACCAACCTTAGTAAAACCACCATTCCGTTCTAGACATGGTGTCACCTAGGTTAGGATCCTGAGGGATTCTGTGCCTCTCGTTCAGGTCCATAGCGCCCGAGCCTGTCCAGTACCCTAGTGCCTGTTACGCCCGTACTGTCCCCTAGCGCCCAGCCCGCTCGTCTCTCTCGTGCCCTAGCGCCTGCTGCGCCTGCCGTTGCATCGCTCCTACCGTCATGTCCGTTCGCGTCGTGCTGTCTGTCCCGTCCCATCCGTCCGCGTCGCGCTGTCCGTCCCGTCCCGTTCGTCCGCGTCGCGCCCGTCCGTCCCGTCCGTCCGCGTCACGTCCGTCCTGTCCGTCCGTCCGGTCCCTCCGCGTCCCGTCCGTCCATCCCGTCCGTCCGCGTCCCGTCCTTCCGTCCCGCCCGTCCCGTCCCGTCAGTCCGTCCGTCCCGTCCAGTCGCGTCGCGCTGCCCGTCCCGTCGCGTCGCGCTACCCCTGCCCGTAGCGCCGCGACCTCCTAGTCCCGCCGTGTCGCGCCCTACTGAGCTGCTCTACTTGTTTAGGGTTTCGGCAGTAGTACTTCCCACCTCTTTGCTACCGCTATAGCGACCCCCTAGGGTTCTGCACTTTGATGCCGAGGATAGGCCGCTCAATTTCTCGGTCTGGCTCCAGCGCGCGCGCCGCCTTTTGGAGAGTCAGGTCCAAGCAGATGAGTCTCTGTGGGCGCACGACTCTGGCGACCTTCCCAAGCCCGACGATCCTGTACCCTTAGGCGCTGACCCGAGCACTGCAGGTAGCGACCGTTATGCCCGCCAGCTTGCTGACCTCTCAGCGTGGAAGTCGCGTGACGTTGCGGCCTGCATCGCCCT